AATCAGGGTATACAAGACACTGACACTGATGAATGAACGATGGTATTCTCGCTATCACTGGAAGTTTCCCCGGAAGTTCCGGATGGAAGCGGTGAATCCGGATCCCCGGGGTTGTCGCAATCCATCGGGATCTCAGGATCCTCTGAACCTGAGGGATTCTCAACTTCAGTGGCGTAGCAAACCGGAGTGCCGCCCGGGGCGGTGATTCGAAATTTCCCGTTTTTTCACCGTGCTCGACGAAAATGCCGCTCCCTGCCACATATTTTTTCCTCGAAAACACTCCGTTTTTTTGGATGCAGAACCCCGGAATGCCGCCCCTAAATGCTCCGTAGGAAGTGCCGCCCGGGGCGGTCCGCCCCCCCCCGCCCCCGCCTGTCTACGCGACTGCTCAACTTCCATTGGTGTATCTTCCTCAGTGACGGAGCTACATTTGAGCAAGGATAGAACTTGTGGGTTGATACTCTTTGATTTACGTTTCGGAGGTTGGCGAAAGCTTGCGACCAGTGGATTCGACGAATTCATCAACATACAGAAGAGATCGTAATTCGAGTTTTCTCGCGAGGTCTTCCGGGTATTATGAAGTCGAAAACGTCGACAATCTGTGTTTCGCGAATCTTGGAACTCTCCCGTGAGCATCCCGACTGGCGTTAGATGTATAGATCTGCGCTCGGAGAATCAGAGGGAGCGTCTGATGAGCCCAGGATGACCTTCCAGAATCTCGGGGGAAGCATACCGCACCCGAAAGATAAATTAGTCGATCGATATGCTTGGATTTCCGCAGATTCCCTCGGATTCCCGCATTTTGAACAAAGAATGAAATATTCGGTATTCGGGAAGCGGGTCGAACCGGGTCTCAATTTTTTTTATTAAATATAAGCGGACCTGAGGCTTCCTTGGCCGAGGGATTCGGGGTGAAATAATGTGGAATACAAGCTTTCCTGCCCTCGTCAATATCCACAAATTTTGATGGTTTCGATGCACATAAAGATTTTCCAATTCGGGGACATCAGAGAGAAGCGAATGGGTCTGAATCGCCTAGAAACTTGATACTCGGACGAAGAAGTCAAAGCATTGATACCGCTAATCGGAGTCGGTTAGAGCCATCATTCCGCGGAAGTAGCAGATGGGAAAAGAAAGTCCGTATGATACCACTGATTGGGAGATAACTTCGATAGCCGCGCATTAATCAGTGAGTGCTCAGCTGACGCTCATGCCTATGGCTCCCTGAAAGCCGACCACTCGCGCGTCTTTCCCGCCTGTTCCGGAGTCGATCCTCGTATCTTTGATTTAGTCCACCTAGAAGTGGCTTTGGCGCCACTGTGGGACGGGGGGAATTGCCTGAATTCTCGTGAATCGCCGTCGAGAGCACGTACGAGGCTGTGACTCCCTCTTTTTTCTACGAAGACCGCAGAGAGAATCTCTCATGGCTTCACGATGATATAAGGAAGACCATCGCGTTTGCTCTTGTCCCCGATCCAGAACTGAGGTTTTAAGTTCCAGAAACCTGCTTCTTATCTAGATCTTGTTTGTTTGCTTGTTTGTTTATTGATGGAACTGCAAGTTATACACTGCTGAAGTTCACATATTAAAATGTAGATCGATACAATTATATTCAGCCTCCTTTGGATTCAACCTTTCCGCGATAACAGGCGACTCCCTCTCGATCCGGGTTCTTTGTCGACGAGAGATCACCGTTCTGATGCGACTAACCAGACAACCCACCGCACCCCTCCCAGTTCAGGCTTCCGATTCATCATCACGTCGGCATATTTCTCCATTCATGGGTTTCCGGTCCAAATTCGTACGCGGGCGGCGAACGATCACTCCGTTCTGAAGGATGAGTTCTCCCGTCGAGATCGCGAGCTCACGTCGAATTTCCAGGAGGCGGCAATCGACAGAAGAAGCTCCGAGAGACTGGAGGCTCAACGATGGCCGTGCATGCAAAACAAAGGAGATTTTTGCCCTTCTCCACTGGGTCTGGCATCGCTGGGCGAACACGCTTAGATTGGCGGTCTCGACGGGAGAACTCACTCCTTGAGGGAACTTGACGATATGCCCCCTCTAGAGAAATTCATCGCTCGATTTCAGCTTATACACGCGGAATGCGTATGGGTAAGTTCTCCGGTCCTGTCCACGAAGTATGATTCTCCGCCACAGCCCGAAAAAGCGGCCTCTAATCGGAGGCGCTCCGAGAGAAATCGCCCTCTTCTGCCCCCTCCCCGAGCAGCGATGCCGCTGTAAACCGCATGCGTGGGTTAGGATAACTCCCTCCGCGATGCTTTCTGGGGATCGAACGAGCAGGAGATTGATGGTCTCAAATCTCAGACATCAGTCCTTCCCCGGACGTGAGAGCTGCGTATCACGCGCGGCGTTCGGTCGCTCCTTCCTTCGTTCTACCATTCGATTGTTCTGCGTAGCGTGTTTCGCTTCATCATTTTACCAGTTTCTGGGGAGCTTGATTCTGGAGCTTCGGCTCCTAATATCGCTCACCTCAGAGGAGAAAACAGCTGAGAAACGTCTCGGAAATTGTCCGTGTCCTCGCTTCGGAAGGAAGGTCGATTCCGTGGGATATTGACTTCAGTGAGTCCCGAGAGCGGTTTCCTCCAAGAAATACTGAAGCTCCAGCTGACGAGAATACTATAACCGGTCGTGTTGGATGATCAATACGGAACCGCAATCTCCTTCGGTCATACCCTGTGCTGCATCCGAGTTTCCTTCGATACGATATGATGATAATTCATCGGAGTTCTATCCCCTATGGTGAATGAATGTATCTTGATGTTCATCCAGTCATCGCGCAACTGAGAAGGAGTTTCTCTCGGAAAAGAATATATCTCTAACTTTCTTCAGCTCAAATGCGCAGTGACTCTCGGATCGCATTTGCATATCGAGTGCTGACAAGAAAGCGACGCGGAGGATGTTTGAATAGGCGCTTCTTTGGCGTGTTTTGGCGCCGCAACGAGTGAATGCTTCGATGAGTTCCGCTGGGGAGAACACTATCGTTAGCAAAGTATGGGTGTAGTAGGGGCCGCAGCTTCGTGAAACGACTGATGGCTATTTCTTGGCACGATCGCGAAAAGAAGTAACCGAGAAAGACGAGCCGGCCATCATCAGATTGCAATGATGGAATTCGAATCACCTCCGAAGTTGTTTGCGACGGAAGCGTCGCTCGGAGCGGAGCATCAGGTCACAGTAGCCCTTCTGAACACGATTGTGCTGAGCTCAAATGGATTCTATCGTCATTCTAGAGACGGGAAGCACCATAGTTTCGAGACCGACATCGAGATAAGTTGCATGCTGGAATATCGCGAATTCCGTTTCCGCGGGTGTCCAAACTCCTGTATCATTGGCAGCTAAGGGGAAGCGGATGGACTCCGAGGGAGATCCTCCCAAGCCAGCTGTCGTTGCGAATAATAGGAGTGTATCCTGACAAGGCAACGACTCGATACCTGAGTAGGTCGACGAGAAGCGGATAGATCGCTCTCGTTCTGCCCTAACATTATACCGGGAGCCTTGATTATGGGCGCAGTACAAACTTCCTTCGCCGGATCCTTCCCCGAATCTCATCCCAGCCCTCAGCCAAAAGCAGAGATACTAGATGCAGCCGGAGCTCCTGCTCCCGAGTCAGCCTCAGAAGAGGGGGTCTGCGCGAACGGTATTGCGGGTTCCAACCTGTGGAGGGGGTCGACTCTGGCGGCGCCGGGCAGCTCCTTGCTTCCAGCAACCGCTTGAGTCCTTGAGAGTTTGAGCTGCCCATGAGCTCCAAAATGCGGAACATGCTGTCGAGACTACACCAGCTGCTGCAATTTATCTGCGATGAAAGAGATTTCGCTCCTCGGTGAGACCCTACGCTTCCGCTTTGCCTCCGAAGCACTGGGCCACGCCTCAACTCTCAACGGAGGCACCCACAATATGATCATTCGAGGGAATCATTCCAGGACTTTCCAGCATACAAATATCAGAACGCCATCTGGGGAACGTGGAATGGGCTCAGTATCAAAAAGAAGCAATTCATCCTCATTGTCGCTGGGGTCGGCGTATTCACCTACGAGCTGTGGGAAGCCAACTCAAGAAGCCGAGATGATTTTGGAGACTCGAAACCGCGGAGAAACGGTGCGGATATGGGGAAGGTCGGATGATCATTCGTACTCTTCCGATACTCCACTTCCGCCTGGTCACGCGGGCGCCAATCGGGCAAAGCAGGCAACATCGTTCATCAAGTGCACTATTTGACGGAAATGCCAGTTGACCCTGGTAGTCGAAGGGAGCCACGCATTCCAGAATTGAGGCAGTGATCCTCGGTCGATACATCGAATGTATCGGCCGTCTGGCGTCAAATTGAGCTCCCACCATTAGACGAGTTCGAGAAATCTCATTGCCGAGCGGAACAGCTGAAGGGGATCCGAGCGCTTGGCGATCGCAGACCTGAGAGAAGAGTAGAGTCAGAGGAGGAGAGCAAAAACTCAGCAGACCGCCTTGGCGGAGCAGGACTCAGAATTCTGTTGACTCGAATCGACATGATTGGTCGCGGCGCGTGATGGCGACAATTCTCCGACCATTCTTCTGGATCGGCGCTTCTTCCGAAAGCTCTTTATCTCTTCCCGACATCGGTTTCTTCGTTCCAGAAGATTGCCGAAGATGAACGCTCTTTCCTAGCCTGCCTCCGGTACGGCGAGCCAGCCAGACAGAGAGCAAGCTGTCGCGCCGGCATGCGATAGATGCGACGTGACAAGACCATCAAATTCGAAGACGACGGAGAATCGGGAGGCATGGTGTCTCAATGATATTCTGTTCAGATCCTGAAGTACGTGTAGCATGAATTCTTCAAAACAGATCAAGACGAAAGAAACCGATCGACCCGGAAGGATTATTCTCTCCGGAAAACTCCGAGTGGAGCTCAGACCATTGCACATTTCCGATGCTGTTCCTTACATAAGAGTCACGGTTAAGACAATTATTGCCCGGAGAAGAGTTTCGTCAAGATGAATGCGACTTCGAAATTGCCTTCTGATATAAATACCCTCCGATTTTATTGCATGCATTCGCTCAGGGCAACGGAATATACAATGGTGAGGTTTAGAGCTGTCCACGCTGGGTCGGAATCCTTGTGGGATATTTTCTCGAGCTCTTAGGAAGAGACGTAAGCGTTGAAGAGACGGGACACGATGGATTTGGAGTTACCCCTGGCCTTCGTCCCGGGTGGCGGCAGAAGGGTGTCGCATACAGGGTTGTTGAGATAACTCTGGCAGACAACATCCAGAAGGTTTGAGGTCGCGAGACGGACGAGAAGATTTCCGTACTCAACTGCGTCTTTACCACAAGCGGACTCAACAGTTTTCGTAGAGCAGGCGCTGTATCGCGAATAGACGCAGCAAGCGGTCGATATTCTGTCGGCGAATTTTGCTTCTTCGATTTTCTCGAGACCGGCTTGAACGTCGTTCAGGCATTTGCGGCCTTGAGGCTGAGCTTTAGCGAGACAAGGGGCGTGTTTCAAGTACTCCGTGCGTAGCTTGTCGCCTCGAGTGCAGAACTTCTTCTGAACGTCACGAGCTCCTTCGGAGACGAGTCCCAAGAGCTCTCGTTGGATTGGTGTGGCGCATGATTTCGTATAGTTCCCGAAACATTCGCTCACCTCTTGCATAACGCCACATTGCTTATCAACGTCAGCTTCTGTTGTGGAGATTTTGTTGTTACCCGCGCCGCTAGCGACGCACAGGTCGAGCTCCCGCAAATGGCAGCGGTCGGCTGCGGCTCCTCCGACCGCGATGAACAGGACGGCTGCGGCGGCAGCGATGAAGGCTTGCATGATGGAGATGGTGTGACGCGATTCTATCCACGAACACGGTAGATTAGAGACAGCAGACGGACAGATGAAATGTCGGTCGAATGATCAGACAGAGAGGGTGTATAGTCTGTCTGTTTTGCACTCCGATGCCCCAAAGTGAGGAGTTGCTTCTTTTATACCCAGAATTGTTCAGACTCTCTCCACTTATCTATCGACTGCAGTTTGTGGTGAAGATTTTCTCGTATCCGTGAGTATCGTCGGTAGTCGTCATTGGTCGGAGCGCTTTATGACGTAACGAGAATACCACCCTTTCTCAAAGGGCCCAGAAGACATCCTAGTAGCCCTTAGAGTGCTCTCGACTCCGCAATTTTTCGTCAATCAGTTGAGCTTCGGCGATTAGTCACAATCACGGATCATCGGAGACGGAACGTTCGCAGGGGCGGTCTCATTTCGTTCCGATTGTTTGGAAAAGCCCCGCGGTTTGGAGTAGCATCAGTCATCAGGCTATGTTTGAACAACCCACAGAGAGCTCGATTTCTTTTGTATTCCCCCAGCGTATCGATCGTGGCTCATCCGTCTTCTCGGGGGTGTGAGCCAGCCGGACGGTCCTCGGGGATCAGAGTACACACAACGAGAATCTCGAGTCCCGCAGCCCCCTGCACAAAAAAGCGGCTCCTGTCTTTCGTTTGAGGAGTCGATTCTCAGCCGACTTCATGCCAGGCGTTCGGTCGGTAGCACTAGCGCCGTCGCTCAGCGGAATGAGCGGTAGCAGTTTCTGGCGCCGCGATCAGAAGCCGATTGAGGAGCGTAGTCTCAGCGGAGACAGACATAACCGGGAACAAATGAAGTCATTCCGTATCGCTGAGAAAAATTGTTTCAGAAACTGGTCGGAACAGACTTCCTCGGTACGTAATAGGGAGTCATAAAGTCGCATCTTCTGATGTCTTCGCCTGCCGATCGTCTGGTATACGATTGCGAAACGAAGAAATATATGCTGGAAAATATAACACAATAGCTGGGAGCCGAACGCGCATGGCGCAAATGCCAACGAACCTGATTATCATATCCTCCCAACATCGGGAGCTTGCTCTCGGAATAGATCCAGGAGCCAGGCGAGGAAACCAATGGCTAGAACGGTCATTCATTCAGAGAGACCGCCGCGTAATCATGAGAACGACAATAGAAAGACCCTCTTATGTCAATATCTGGCGACTAATCGGTTCGAGTTTCTCCTGTTAAACATTTCTCCGTCCACAAAGCCACAGCTGATTCACACGTTTCCGGAAGAATCATACGGAAGACGGCAGATGTATCCAGAAGCGTAGTTATACTGTCTATTCAAGATTCAGACTTCAATGGCCTTCAAGCCGGCCCGCAGTGTCGCCAGGAACTGTATGTCATCACCAATCCTGTCATCTCTTACAGGCCACACGGATGACGAGCCGACCAGAGAGTTGGGTGAGGCATTGATATTGCAGAATATGAAAACAAGTTCTCTCGACGAAGAGAGACTTGACGCAGTTTATGAAGGCGTTATTCTGGCCATCTTAGTAGGGGCTTCGGTTATGGAAATGCCTGTTGCGATCAATCGTTAACTAGTATATGTCTAAGGACACACGTATAACAAATGCCCGTTCTCGAACATGAATGGCGCTGTCCTCCGAAACAGATTCCCAGGCTAGCAAACAAGCGGAGTCAAAGTAATTCTCCTCAAATTCTGAAGCCAATGCATACAGCCGAGTCCCGATAATTCGCGTTTCCCGGGAGTCAAGTTTTCATGGAAGCCGCGAATCGCGAATTCCAAGGGCTGATTTTCTGGGGGTGCAGAAATATCAAGATTCGCTTGTACTACCACGACTCCTTATTCTCGTCTCGTCAACACGGCTTACATAACCTGAACGATCTCACAAGATCTCCGATCTATCACAGATTCTCCGGCATATGGATCGAAGTTCCGGGGCATGTTCATCTGTTTTTATCGGGACTCGACAGTCCTGATAGCTTCGCTCGGTCGGTTAGGTGTCCGGCGCGATACGCGGCAAGTATTGTGGATTGGGAAGAATAAAGGGGGCGTGTGCAAGAATGATTTTCAGAATGGAATTTCGTCCGTGATAATCGGATAAGCACGTGAACAAGCATATTTCCCCGGCTCGCTGTCGCGGATTAAGCAAGAATTTTCGCCGCGAACTGCGAAGCGTCGGGATTTCGCGCACCATGGGGTACCTACGCATGGAATTCGTAGGCGGATCGAGTGGGACCAACATCTTCATCGGATGTACATAGAAAAGTTCCCGCAGCTTCCCCCTGGAGAATCGCCGCTTGCAGCGAATCGTCGGGACTCTATGTATTATGAATTCCGTGAATCCAATTATTAGTTATCACGGAAGGCGTGCATTAAGTCACTGATACGCTTGTCACTCAGGGAGACACCCGAGTGACAGCTCAGGTCGCTAAGCATGATTCTTCCTGCGATTCGAAGTCAGAGCTGTTATACATATGTGTTTTGAAGTCTCGGAATGTTTTTCTTCCAACCACATCCGTACTGGAGTTTCTTGGGAGCTCCTCTGCTGAATCTTCCCGTATGACCTCCCTAAATGGCGATCACTTTTCGTCGGAGCTTTTCGATCTGTTCCCCTCAACATGTCCGCTCGAATCAAGGGAATGTCTTTCGTCTGGTAGTCTCAAGGATCAGATGAGAGGAAAGCTTGATTTTCTGACGCTGTGAACAGAATTCAGATGCACCTCGACTCACCTTCTGTGGAGAATCCATTCTTGCACAGAGGGAGATGTTTTCTGCCTATCCAAAAAGCCGCCCAGCTCAAGGACGCGCGTGGAGCAAGTGGTCCTAATCCGCAGCCATAGCTCTGATCGATCCGCATATCGCAATCCTTGAAAGAAATGGCGGAAATTCATCGGTCATGAAGTCGTGAGATCGGCGAAAGATCCAGTGAGTCAGCGGGACGATCCTCCTTCATCAGGACGATCTCGATCACAACTTGCATCGGATCAAGTACCTGTACCTGCATCTGCCTGCGTGAAGTACCAAATGCCACTTGGGATGAGAATTGAATTGAAATTCGAGACAGTAAAATATCACAAAAGTTCCAAAAACCACGTGCTTCGGCTGCGATTTAGTAAGCATCTGCCAGGTATCCATTCCGGGTGAGCTTCACGTGAAGGTGAATAGCCAATAGCCCTTCTGTTTTCGTATTAGGTTTTTCGGAATAATTTCTCCGTTCTCGGCCATATAGTAATACAATGATCTCTCGTCACAAAGGAACACAGCGAACTTCTGACTCAGCATCACTGGAGATATTTTCCAATTCTCGATTTTCTGTCCTCCGGTCTGATGGTTAGGAAAAGTTTCTTACAACGGACATTCTAGGGATGAGGCGTTTTTGCCGGCACCAGCGTTTTCGTCATCCGAACCGTATTGACGATGGGGGCATATTGTGTTATTGATCGGAGAGACTTCATTGCTGTTTGGGGATAATTTCTTGGCGCGACCAAATACTCCGAATCATCAGGAACAGGAACTCACGCGTCCGAGACTCGAAGTTCCGATTCGCTGCAGAGTATCCGTCGAATAAGGGATCGTCTTCAATAAAACAGAAGAGGGAAACGTTATTTTGATAGAATCCTTAGCGACCGACGGCTCTCCTCTGCTTCCGATCCGGAATTGCTACAGATGGAGCAGAGTTGATGGGAGCACCTCGACGGGCCTCGTGTACACAGACAGAGGATCCGCAAGTCTCATTCCCCGGTTTCTTAAGGTTTGACGGGCGGAACATACCCTCATGCGTTAAGTTTCAATCGACTCTCCACACAGCCTTTTGGATACTGACTCGTGCGACTGCATCTCACATGAGATGCTCATGTAGGGACCGGAAACGCTTCTGTTGCCATCGAGCCTCTGTCGCTACGTCGAAATGCCCTCAAACTGCGAAAATACCCTCTCCCGGCTTGTTGCTCGAAACCCGGAAATCGCGTACGACCTCGACGCAGCGCGTGGGTGAGTCTCTCAATCTTCAGGAAGATTGTTGTGATCACCTCGAAGTATTCCCGAAAACGAATCTCGAGTCGGAGCCGATCGACCAGACAGAGCCCGCACCCGGCTGAAGATGTTCTCTTGAACAGCCGCGAGAGTAGCGGCTCCCGATGAAGACAGGAGGCAGGCGGCATAGAAAGCGGTGCACATGGGGAGGGGCTGTTGCATCGGACGGATCGACGACACGCCGACGAGCGCGTTCAACCGCAGAAACCAAGCCGGTTTTTCGAAATCTACAAATAGTGAGAATCGGTCGAATGAAACTCCTCACAGGAATCCCGGAAGCATTCGATTACAATTACAAAAAAAAGAGATGAGGACAATGAGCCTAATCTGGGACTCGCTGAAGGAAAGTTCGGTCGGAACGGTGGCGCCGGTGCATACTAAGATCCGGTCATCGACCCGTATTCCGCATCGCCCCTGGAAGCTCACCCCAGTCTATTCGAATAATACTCTGCGAATCGGGATGAACACGCCCCCCGGATTCACCGGAAGTCGCTCCTGAGCGTGCCACAGTTCGATACCGATCGATTCTTGGGTTTGCGTTTGCGGCGATCGGGAAACGTTTCACATCACTCAAAATCACCGTCGCGACGAATGTCGACCTGGCCGCGCGTCTAGAACTCAATTCGTTCAAAGCCACTCTCACTTCGCGGTATGGCATCGCTCGCGCGCGAGGTGGCGCTGCTTAGACCCCTGCTGCCTACTGGATTTCTTGCCGGAACGGCGAGTCCCGGCCTTGATTCAGCCGAGAACATTTGTTTCCGGAAGCCTCCGTCGGGAGCAATAACCTAACCCCTGATCGGCGGTTCCCAGGAAATCGAAGTTCGGCTTTCGAGTGCAGCCCGGAAAATTTCCTTCGAGATCATGACTCGCGACGCCGACGTGTCGTTAGAGCCAAGTTTCCATTGCTCGGGAAGGCGAGATGTCCGGTATGTGTTATGTTGCTCGCTCTCGATATATGAACCTGAACAAAATAGTCCGAGAGCTCGGCTGTGTCCGTTGATTGCGATTCTGGACAGGTGGGATGCATCATGCATCGTATCGCCTCGTTGCTGAACTAGGTATCCTGATCTCGATTGAGCTGACGATTGTCTCTGTGTCTTACGATTTGTCGTCACCCGCTCGACCATTAGTCCCGCCGAGTATACCAATGTAATCCCCGTCGCTTGGCACCACCTGATCCAGTCGTCTTTCACGTGGCATCCATCAAAAAGTTTGAATGATGAGGCTGCCCTGTCAACCCGCTCGTCCTCTATCACAACTGCGGATGAATGAGTGTTGTACCGGAGGAACTCGCTCCTCAGTGAAAACCTCGTCGAGTCTCTCGGATTCTGCGGAGGGGAAGCTAACGAAACACCGACCAGACTTGCTATCAATCATTCATCTATAACCTGAGATATACCGTAGATAGCACCGTAAGTGAGGGACAGTCTCCGATGGACGGGATCTTCCGAGGATTGAGAAACAAATCAGGCGGTTTCGAAAACGTACGCAGCCCACTAGTCGCTAGACAGTGATTTTTTCCTGCAAAAGCCATTGACTGAAGATTTCACATCATCTAGGTTTCTAGGATGCCAAGCAAAATCGTGCATGAGCATCTTCAATAAACGAGGGTCTTCTCTTCGTGGAGGGTGAGCTTCGAGTCGACACTCGTCCGAGGGAATAGATTAGGATTACGCAAGATTGTTTTCCCTGAAGACAAGGGAAATATATTTAATGAGGAGTGAGTAAGAATGAAGGAGTCGATACGTTTTCCGGCACCAAGAAAACCGTGATATTGCTTGCGCGAACACGTACAGCAATATTCCTACGAATGGTGAGCGTTGCTCTCACTACGGGGAGTCTTCCCGTCACAAATCCCGAGGTTGATCGGTCGTCGTTACTCCGCCATTCGCGGCTCTCCGGTGAAAAGTGACCTCTACGATGCCAGCGGCAATATCGAGGAAAGTTTCGTGAGCTTCATCATGATACTCTCAGACTCAGAATATACAGAGACTTCGGCTGCATCTTGATTCTTCTGGACAAAGATCGAGATCGTGGAATGAAGAGCGTCTATCCCTCTGTATGATGCTTGCTGCTCCCCTCACCGCTAGAAAGAAGTGATCGAGCAAGATCCGAAGTTCATTCACCAGAAATGCAACCAGTCATCCCTCAATTCCCGATGACGATTCTTGCTGAACATGATCGCACAGGATCAGACTGCGCGAGTTCGGCGTACGGTTCCCTCTGAGGTGCAGCGGAACCAGAGGCACGGCCACCACTAAAATCTGACCGCTTGAGGTGACAGACCTTTTTTCCCGGGCTCCGAAGCTATAGGCTCCAATTTTGGAGGATCCGCCTGATGCGACCTATTGAACCATCAGATCCCTCTCCGGAATCCCCGCAGGTTGCCTTTTCAGACAGAACTCCTGTTCGTATCGTTCCATGATAAAATCAAACACCGCGAAAGCGGTGAAGATGTCGCTCATTCCCATGAAGACTGCACAGTTAAATCTTAGAAGCCGATCCTTGTACATTAGCGAATACAATTCAGAAACAGATCCAGAAGAGCATGACCAGGTTTTGGAGTGAGAACGTCTTTGAGTCTGCTGGCTCCACGAACCAAGGGTACTCCGTCTTCAGCGTGACGGAAGTGTTCCTCCTTTGACGCTCGAGCTCCTGATCTAAGTGAAGCCGGAGCTGATTTCTTCCACATGCGTCTAATAGTGGAGCACATTCACGCAAAATGCTACCTATCGATCTCCGCGGCCGATTGGAGTAGTCCGAGTCGCCATTCCGATGCTATCTCTACATATTCTTGAAATTAGTCTCAATGAGTCAATGAGACATGAATGCCAGTTTCTCTTGATACTATGCTGGCTCAGTTTCGTTGTAGGAGTTGGGCAATGACAAGCTCTGTCACGCTCGCGAGTGGTCAACATCCGAGAACCCTTCCTGAGGGACCGAGGGATATATTCCATGATTCATGAGGATATCGCCGCCTCATTACAAACGCAATATATTCGTGCACTTCTTAATCCTGTCGTATCTATTCGGTCAGATCGCGGAGCGCGACCCGCAACCCCGAGCCCCGAGGAGATCGGACGGGCCCTGCTTAGAAAACAAGAAACGGCCGAGCGAAATGCTGAGACGAATGATGGAAGAGTCCACGTCACCTTGTCTCATTATGCAACGGCCATTTTGTTCGGGTAGATCACACTCTGCCAGGATCCTCAAACAAGCGATTGGATGGGTCGTCCGCGAAAACCCAGGGCCAAGGCCCCTCGCGACAAAGCTGTATCCGAATTCGAAAGAGGACGGATTCCAACCTCGTCGAACGCAGTGAATCGGTCCGAGCGATTTGTCGCGACTTCGAAAGACCCTACCCGTGATTCGCGTGATTCGCAGCTCCCTCAAGGACCCCGCAAAGTACGCCACGGCGAAAAGCCCTCACCAACCGGAAAAGTTACGTGCGGAAGACATACCGAGTCATTGTACTAGCTTCTGATGCGAGAGAGAGCTGTGAAGCAATGGAGGAAGACCTCGAATTTCCCGTGCGTCGCCAAACGATTCGGCCAACGCTATGCGCTGATGAGGCGCCGAAGCGCACAAGGTCCGCAGATTAGAATTCGCTCGCCTTAACACGATTCCGACAGGGACCAGGGTACGTTGCGGTAGACTGCCAGTGGCAGAATCTTGAGGGGATTTCTGGGCTCCGAGCTTTGGGGGGTACGAGAGACCGTCAGATCACAAAGCTTTACCATCTCTTCTAGGTGATCTTCAGTGACGCAAAGAATTGCAACCTCGACGGACCGGACGGTGATCTCCGGAAAGATCCCCTCGTGTTCTCGAGGCGGATTTTTGGCGGAGGCTCCCATTGCGAGCGGGAAGCTCGACCAAAACTTCCCATTTCGTGGGTCACAGCGTGCAATGCGAGAAAGCGCTTTCAAGCTCCCTGGTCCCTTTCCTGGGAGAAGGCTTCTGCTTCCAAGCGGCAAGTGGCTTAGATTCAATCGTGTTTCGCAACCGAATGTCAGGGTCTGAATTCGCGATGTGAACAGACGATATCGCCAAGAGAAAGCAAGGGAGCGCCTCTCTCCGCTTCTGGAGTTGGACATCGAGTTTCCGTTCTCTGTGCCTTCTCGATCGGAATACTCAGGATGGGTGAAAGGGAATTGTGGGGAGAGAGATCCTTTGAGGCGCTCGGAGCCAAGGGAGAAAATTAGAATGCACTCATCTTTCTGTAAAGACCTGCAGAATGAACTTTCTTATTCTTCGCTCCGGTTTCCTTACTGGGTCGGTGCAGCGAACGGGACAACGCAACTCCGACCATGAGAGTTTTCTGTGATAGATGCTTTGCTCTTGAGAAGACTTAGCATACGTCTTCGCGTAGGATCCGCATTTTTCAATCACCTCGATGTGAATCTGACGCTATAGGCTTGTGCGACAGGAGACGCGAGCTGCGGCAGCAATGACTCTTTCTCGATCAAGGAGTTATGCATACTTCTCGAGGGAAAGATATGGCTGCCGAGAAAGTATGTATCCTCGACTCTCGCGTCGACTGCCTTGTCGGCCAGACTTGCGAACACCACTGCGGTGAATTACCCGCAGAACAAAATACGTTCCGCCAAATTCTATGAATCCTAACCGCTAAGAGGTCCACTTGGACGAATACGCAACCGACATGAATTTCGATTCGGCTCCTAGCCGAACCCTCGGGAACTTTCTCAACCTCAATCTTGCCCTCTGTCCTATCACGTGATCCTACGCTAAAATAGTTTGATCAATGTTGAGCCAGGTTCAGGAGGCTCGCACCATATTCACAGTGTGCAGCCGTGAGATCGCAACAAGAACTCACAGGCTCTCTGAGGTTATGAGGAGGGGTCGTTTTCATGTACGTAGTCCTCCCACATTTCCAAAATTATCTGATTTCTCCACCCACAGAGGATTTAAGGTTTGGAAAGAATAGACAAGCGGGAATCCGCGAAATCCCCGATCGGCTGGACCCGATAAGCATGAGAATTCGAGGGTCGATTCTTGAGAGCTCCTGGGAAGCTTATCAGGACCGACATCGAACGACGGAATTTCGCGATCTACAAAGTAATATGATATGTACGGAGATCGGTATCGACTTCGCTCATGATTTCCAACTCCCCGAGCACAGCGAGATGGAGGATCCTGACCTCGGAATGTGGAGGCGAAAAAAAACAGAGGACCTCAAGGTCATCCGACGCTCGTCCGGCGAAGCGCTTCCAAAGGGGGAGCGGGTGGCTCCGTCTTCTCATATGGCGTCCGTCATCTGGCCTCGAAGGCTGCGAGATTGGCGCCTGACGCAATACAATCTCGAGCGGGGTAGCAAGGAAACCGTTCAAGCAGCCGAAGAAGCGACCGATTGTTTATCCGCTTGCCAAGCCGTCGGTTGCCAGACGGGGAATAAAGCGGATCGGGATGAATTTTATCCATTCAGACGTATTAGGTTGACTGCTCCCTGAGCCCCGCCCCGACGGAAGCGATTCGAGGAGTGGAAAATCCCTCAAAGATCCTTGTGACAGCTCTGTCCCTCTGTTGGGAATCAGGCGTATCGCCTCAAGTGGAAGAAGGAGGGGCGTATGAATCGCCTATTGAGGCTTCTGATTGAGTGCCCTGCTCTCGCTATCCGGGTCCGAGCCTTTCAGGCGCGTACATGAATTTTTACTCCCCGTGGGCTGGGGGAGTCAGTATCGCGTTAACCTCTTACTAGCCCCTAAAGTTTGGTTTTCGCGATCAGCTCGGTCATCGACACTAACCGATTTCCTTCAAGCACCAACGTCTCTATGCTTCCTACGATTTCAATCTCACGAGTTCAGGTTTTACCTCCGACTGGAGGTTTCACGCTAACTTACCTGCATCATCTGGCACACGTTCAGGACGCTGATATTCGAGGATACTTGATGGCGTTTGCGAGTAATGCTGATCACGTAGTTGCTCAGGATGCGGGCCGTATCTTTCGAAGTCAGATGAATTGATAGATTCGTTTGCCCCGCACCGCATGTGTAATTCAACCTTCGGGGGAAAAAATTTGAGTCGAATATAATAAACATTCATTTCATCGGCAGACGTACTCCGGGATATTGTCGGTATACTTGAAAACAGCGATTGGGGAGAACCTTTCCCACAGTCACAAGCATCGGGCAGGGGGGGGGGAAGGCCAACAACCCTAAAGTTTTCTGGCCGCATGCTGAAGTATTTGCCCAGGAGACGCGCGTTATCATTTTGGACAGTTCCCCCTCCCCCCAAAACGACTTGGCCGGCCCCAACGAGAACTCAGTGCAAGCCCCTGGTACTGGGGGTCTGGCAACGGGTTCAGGGACGAACGAAGATGTCCTTAGAGATCTCGAGCCGTGCGTTTATGCCTGTCTCATGTACAACGCGATCTTACCGAGGCCATCTGCCAGATTCGTCGCTCATTAATTGGATCTTTCAGCATCAAGAGCGATGAAAAGACGAGAGAAGTTCTGGAAACGGTTGCGAAAGATAGCGGAGATAGGGTTACTCGCTCAAGACGGTCCTTGCTCCCGAGAGGGCCAGCGTAAGCATCTGCGGCCTTCGTCGGCTGTTGACTTGATTCGGTGTAGACACGGTCCAAGGAGTAGTGAGCAGATGCAACCTAGACTTTTAACCACAGGGCTCTGCAGCATCGCTCAACGATTTGATGCTCTGGAGCGGAGCGAAGTCTTCGAACTCCTCAGGACACTCACGGAGGACCGCCTGGGAAGCTCGCGCAGGAGTATATCGAACGTTGGAAGACCCTCCTCGGAGAGCGCTTCATGATTCGCAGAGGTTTTGCAGATCCCCAGCAAATCTTGCGGCCTGAGAGTTCATGCGCGAGGAGTGTGAAATCTCCTGCCGCGGGTCCGTAGGGATCTCCTCTGGCCGTACCAGTAATACTTTCGAACGTCCCGTCTGTCATTCGGAGTCGGACCGAAGACACTGAAAACGCAACCATGTTCCGCTGGGGTAGGCTCATCCTGCCCCGATCCAAGAATCCCGGATCTCCTGAGCAGAACGGGAATCCATCTCACAAGAGTCTTATCTGTTGAACCATTCGCCGGGTTCGGGTTTCGAACGATTTCCCGAATTCGCCAGTAAGTATTGTCAGTCGCAATTCGAATTTGGTTGAGGTAATCTTTGCATGGAATTCCTCTGATTCCCGACACCACATTCCTCCGGCTCCGGATATCGTGTGATACAGGCTCGATGGTCGGCTCCGTATGTCGAGCCCGCGAGGATGGGCGGCGTATCTCGTATCTGGAAGCTGCAGGGCTCCCTATCAGGTAGTGAATGCCCGCCTTTACTCACCATTGATCATTTTGAAGAGGGCTGCCCTCGACAATCAGAAGAATATCGTCGGTGAACGGAGTCGCGCGCAGCATAATGACGAGCTGATCATATTCAATATGTAGTTGATAGTTGGTTTGATAAGGATCGAATGCTGGAGTGAAATCACATTCTCCAGCTTTGACCTCGAGAGTCCGGAGGAGAGGTTGGCCCATCAACTCTGCAAGAAAATTCACTTGTCACACTGGAGGTGCTCCTTCGAAGAACTCAATGGAGGCCGTTTTATAAACAGGAGTCCATGAATCGAGGCATGTTTTCGCTCAGTCGTCCAGTTCGGAGCAGACAGGCATTGACAATTGACACCCTCGCTAGTGCCCTATATATAAGCCCCCCCCCCCCTGAAGCTCTCATCTGGGAGAACCTCCTTTAGTTCGAAGAGGGGGGATTTGCGATGCATTCGGTTGTGATTTCGGAGCTCCTGACGGGCTGGATGGGTGATGGGGGATCCGGTGATGTCGCCCCCCAGTCAAGTTATCGGCTCCATCGGATCTCGATAAGGTACAGAGGTCAAACACGCGAAAAATGGAGGAGATTCACCTTCAGAAAATATCTCATACGCGAGAAGATCTGCAATCCCCCCGCGGTCGTCATTGTTGAGGATTGCTGAGCGACCATGTCATGCGCGACCTCTCTCGATGGAATCCTTGTGCGGGCGTTAACGACCGAACGAGATCCATGACGACCACAAACACAAAGAAGGAGTCAAGAAGAATTTCACTCAGAATAGTAGGACCCATTGTTTTCACGGCAGCCTCCCGAAGAAGTCCTTGCAGGATGGTATAGCACATCCCCTTCTCCTGTACCTCTTCTCCAGCCCACCGGCTCTTCCAGCCTGCAGCCTCGTGACGATCATTGAGCCATCATCGGTTCTGCATGGCCCAGGGAGCTCGTCCCGCAGACTCACGGCTCGAGGAGAGCAACTCAGAATCATTCGGCCGCCACGCCCTCGATGAGTCGTTCAGGCTTCAAGGGAGAAAAATCGGTCTGGCCGGGAGTGGATCCTGGCGCGTGAATGAGACAATTTTAATTTCTTTCAATCTCTGTCTGGCGCGCATGCGGACTCTCCTTAAGCGCAGGAGCGCAAAGAAAAATGCCGCTCGGATGAGGTCCTCCCGCACGAGGAGCTGCAAGCAAGGCTCCATCGCCGCCGCTTGACGACCCATCGCTGGGACATCTCACCGCCGAACAACTCATCGCAAAGCCGGGAAGATTCCGGAAAATCTCCGATTGTGGCTCGTCCTTGATTTTGTATTCAGTCTGTCTCATGAAAACTCTCTCGGTACGAAGGAACTTTGATTCTACCACGGGACGGCAATCACGGAATAGCGCAAACTTTGTCATGAACCCGTGAATCGGTCGCTCTGTACCCTCAGATGCCTAAATCCCTGATGACCGACTCCCAGTTCCCCGACTTCTCGGAGGCTGCCTGACTTTAAAATCTCTGGGAGGAGAAAACCCACCGACATGGGGTAGGCTTTTGACTAGGCGGGCATCTGGAATATGCGGACGTGGTCCTACCGTAACAGGAGGGTTTCCTCGTGATAAACTAAGTTGATGGACGAGCCTCGATCGGGGATCCCTTCAAGTTTCACTTCGGTAGATTGGGCGATTTCTTGTCCGGTGATGAGTTGTCCGGCGATGATTTTTCTGTGTCCGTTGAAATGCCTCGGGAGCTTACTCCCGATTCGAGGTTGGATCGCCTTTCCCCCCACCCGCTTCGCGACTCCTTCGTCGTAAGAAAATCGCTCGGAGTCGGTGACAATACCGTATGCGGCGCCGTTGAACGTGTCCCATGTTTCCTGGGTCCCGTGGGTGCTCCTGGTTGCTTCTTTCCTGATTCTCGTCTCTGATTGTGAGTCGGGGCGGGGTTCTTCAGATAGCGAATCTGTGCCGAAGAGGGGAAGTCAAGTGGGGCTCTTGCCAGCGATTTCCGCGGGCCGAGATGCGTCAGACTGGATGACTTTAAGTGCGTCCAGTTCGATGCTGATTCCGAAGGTATACGAACTCATTATGAGGAGAGTCACACGAGGAAGCTGAGTATGGAGAACGAGTTCGAAACCTTCACCTCGTCCGCTGCCGACCCATGTTTGAGGAAGCATGTCTAGAGTGGAATCGTACATATGAAAGGAGATTCATTCCCGCTTCCATCGGAAGCATACAGAACGCCTCGCTCAAGAAGACAGATTAGTTTTGGTCCATGTAGGGCGTTCTCGACGCATGGGAGTATCAGTTTTGGGACTCATGAACGCTCGTGGAATAACTCGAAGTGTTCACCGAAGTACGTGATTCTCCACTCGGACAAGAAGACAGCCCGATGCCCCTTGCGGTTCACGAATATCTCGGTGGCCACTTTCCGTCGGTCCGAAGTGCGCGCTCCGGAAATGCGGGGTCTCTCTCCCGATAGCAGCCCTTGGGTCATTGTTCGCGACACCATACCGCCCTCAACTCCCAAACATATTCGGGAAGCTAAATTACGGCTACTGTAGAGTATTCGCCGGAGAATTCACATCGTTTACAGGGTGTGCCACTCGTGGCGAATAATCCATTTGCGCATGAGGAAATCCTGCACGGAGTATGTTTTCCCGTTGATTTCCCACCGTAGGGAACCAACAATATGACTTTTCCAAAGAGGACTGACTTATGGAGCTCGCGAATCGGGCTCGTCACTTTTCTCGCGAAAGACGGCCCTGACCTCTTTGGAGAAGTGGATTCTTTCGTGTCAGTGAGGTACCTCTGGTCTCCACCCGCGCGGATCTTTTCGAGAACATCCACGGTGTCCAGAATCCCAGCCTTGCTTGGTCACGAGGCTGCGACGATTGAGTACCCTTCGAACGTTCGAGCGTTGAAGGAGCGACCGTTCGAAGTGAAGCATTGAAGGGGATGGTGCTCTCTTCAAACGACGAAGCGTCCTTCGGGAGGACGCGGACAGGCGAGGGAAAAGTATCCACGTTCCGGTTCCCATATTCCCTGGGCTGGGGCAAGGAAACCGAGCATAGCTGTTCAGGAGCATCCGCTGCCCAACAGGAAATGAGAGCTCTGATGTTCATCAGCCATCCGCTTGGCTAATCTCCGCTGTCATAAACACCGCCGTCTCCCGCAGTGAGCCCACATCCGTTTCTCTTGCGAATAATCATTACGGAGGCTTGGAGCGGGTAACATTCTGAAAGTCAGCCGCTGCCGACTGCTTCGCATCCGTGAGCGGCGATACTGCGCGTCGAATGGTGTAACTCGGCGACGCATGAACTCTCTCCGAGTCGATGAACCGTTTTGCGTTTCCGATCCACTGAGAGAGCTAGCGTCATCTCCGAGTCTCTCCATGAAGAATGAAGCTGGCGTGTTCATACAGGGTGAGGTTTCAGAGATCCCATACCAACGAAGTTTGTCCACCAGAAACCGGTGATTCACAACGTCGAAGGCAGCACGGAACTCTAGAAAGATCACATCAGTCCTGGCCGAATGATCGTTAAAGTCGGTGATCCACTCATTGAATGTTGACGTGAGGAGGATGTCGGTCGAGCGCTTCTGACGAAATCCGAACTGGGGTGGGTCGAGAAGTGAATCAATCTCGCAGTGATGAAGTATCCGGTCCGTCAAGATTTTCTCCAGAACTTTGCTGGTCACGGTTGTAATCAAAATGGGGCGAAAGTTGTTAAGGTCCAACCTGGAGCCCTTAGATTTGAAGACGGGTGTGACGAAGGCGCGTTTCCAGGCCCGAGAGGGCTGGCGAGCTTTGTTCACGGCAGGATAACCGTGGGGACTTGACATCTCTTCTAGAGAAGGACTCCTATGGTCCGATTTTCCGGAGCCGAAAAGTAGTAGGAGGAGGTTGGGCTCTAAGTCGATCTCATCATTGGCATCCCTTTTGGAAATACATGGTTCCTCGCGGGAATATATGCACCGTATTTTTCCCAATAGGAGCCCCGGCTTGTATTATTTCAAATGCCTGATCAAGGAGGCTTTTACCAGAGAGAGGCTAGTGAAGGGGAGAGGCCATTATCATCTCAAACTCCGATTCCAGGGGGGGGGGGCTTGCAATAGAGAGAGGGCTGATGGAAGAGAGAGGCTGTTATTTTTTCGACTCCAAGCGTTCGGAGAGATTTCTAATGGGGAGCGCCTCATGATTATTTGAGAAGCCTACGATGATCAGGAGTGCTCAGTGAAAACGGGAATATGGGTTCGACTGTCAACTAATTCATACATCGACTCGACATGTATTGCTTTTTTATGGTAGTGTCTCAGATCAATTCTGAGAGAGAAGCGACGAAATTGACGGACAAAGTTTCCACAAAAAATATCTTCTTCTCGACGGAACTCATAATCTGATAATCGATGCCTCCGACCGAAACCTTAGAATCGAAGCATCACGGTCGCTCTCACAGCTGTCCACCGGTTCGAGCGGGTGAAAACGAGACGATGTCTCCTCCTCGTCAGAGAAAGTGTTTTCGGGGTTGCGGAGGAACATCAGGTCAGTCTTCCGACACAGGTCGTCCAGACCATCTGGGCACGCTGACTCGGGTCGGAAAGCATGTACATATAAGGTAGTCGTCAGAGCCGTGTACGTAATTGGAGATTCCGCTAGCTTTGAATGATTTCGAAATCAGTGCCTCGGACAAGGCTGACCTTGAGTCGACAATCCATGGAAGATGGATCTCCATGGCCGGTGCACGCAGGTTGCCGGCTGCGGTGTACGTTTTTTCTCCGTTTAGAAGCCAATCCTCGTGGAGTTCTTCAATGCGTTGCTTCAATGGCGTGTTCCAGGAAATGTCTGGAGCCTCTGCATGTATTTTGTACAGCGCCCCGGAACGACGGTCGTATCAACACGAAGCTTCCTGAGCTGCGCTTCGGTTTCTTGGGAGAGATGAGCTCTGAATGCGTCCCAGACAAGCACTCGATTTGAGAACGAAACCTGACCAAGCGCTCGATTTAGGAAGTCGATAGTCTTTCCTGATTCATACAGTTGGATCCGCACCAACTCAGAACCTGCTTATCCTCGAATTTCCGCTGGATCTCTTGCATTACCCGTTTTCGTGGTAGGAGTACGAACGGCAGACACTTAGTCCCATCGGCTCGAGCACACAGCATCACGCTTACTCGGAGTTTCCCGTGTCCAACGGACTGCACCGCAACCTCTTTTGCGCCTCCGTTTGTCAGGCAGGTCCTGCCTGGTGGGTCGATCCATACAGCCGTTCCGTCCGCCGCGAAGATGTCACACAACGCACAGTTCTTCTCCAGGCGAAGCTTTCTTATATAGAGGATGAAGTTCACCAGAGTCTCTTCTGCTGGGGGTTTCTGGCATTGAGCGGTGGCACGCCTGCGGCACAAGCTGTTTCGTTTCATGAATTTTGTGCACCAAGCGTCGCTAGCCTTGAAATCACCTGGTTCCATCGTGCCTGCGCCCACCAGTTCGGTCGCATCTGCATGCATCTGACTGAGAGTCTTAACTATCGTGATGAAGCACCTTGAGCTTTCGAACGAAAGACGAGCATTGCAATTCTGTTTCCGGCATGTTGTCCTGCGGAGGCTTCAATTAGAGACAGGCCCCGAAAATTCCGAGCGCGGCCCGGAGAGGCCTGTATTAGAAAGGGGGCTTGTAATAGAGGGAGGCTCCTATTATTCCGAACGAAAAATACGGTCTTCGCTTTTCACGTGTCCCGCTTCCGTCGCCAGCCCCGAAACATCTGAGTGGAAGAGATTATGTCTCGATTACGGAACCTCGGAATGTCCTTGCTGCCAACAGAGCTCGCTAACACTGTTGGTTTGGATTCCAGGAGCCAATAAAATAGGGAAACGCATGCGGCTTCAGCCTTTCTCCTGTTCCTCCCTCTCGACCTACTCTAACGAGAGGGGCAGTAACCCGGCGCCATCACACATAGCGATGGGATCATGCAGAACAGCTCAAACTGCGCCTCTCAATCCGATCCCGGCTCGTCACAGAATTGCCCTCTAAGCTGGTATATCATCAAAGGAGATGGCCGATCCACCGAAGTTTGAGGTCCGCCTTGTCCACATTTGCCGACGCCGCGGCGTCCAGTCTCGATATCGAGAATTCAAATCCCACACGCGAGGGGTGCGGAAATGCGGATGGTCTCCCAATCAGCTTCATCTCAAAGAGCCAGAGGTAAATCTGGAAATCATTGACGCTGTCGCTCGACATCTGAGGCGTCACAGAAGGGACTTTTCAGCGTGCATTGGGGTAGCGGAAGCGCTCCATGTTGATCCACGCATGGGGTTAGCTGTCAGGAATCATGGAGCGTCTGCGTCCCTGCGTTATTAATACATACCTTCTTGGTTCCGAAGGAAAATTCGGTCCGGTCAGAGATCGCGAGTCGCGAATCTGATTCGAAAGTGAATCTAGATTCTTCATGATGATCGGAGTATAGTCCCAAATAACGCGCACGCTATTCTGCGCCCAGGTCCTGTTCGAGCGCGGGCTCATCTGGCGCACAAGTCGAATTAGAGCGCAACGCCTCGCGAGGGATATCTGATGTCGGGTACCTCGCCACTATTAACAGCCTGAAGCGACTCACTCGGGCGCTTCTTCCCCGATTTCGCGATTTTCGATCCCCCCGAGTCTCGATTCCCCGATTTCGGTCACAATACCGGCCGCAAGTACCCGAGCATACTCCCGAGCTATTCTTCGCATCCTCAAATCTCTACGTGTTACAGCATTGAGATCACCGACGCACAAAAAAAGAGGATGAGTGCTGATCGGTCTCTCTACATGTACATGAATTCGATCCGTGCCACCATAAGTTGGGTGTCTCCGTCGAAAGAGCGTACACGGGGGCTATGGGGGCGGTCTTCTGCTCTGGGCGGCTTTTCCTAGGGGGCGGCGTTTTCGGGTTCAACATTCGGAAAACGGCTATTTTCTTGAAACATCTCGACATGCCACTCGGGAAATATTCGGACACGGGACGGAGTTTCGGTTGATAGCGAAAAGTTGGAATTTGCGTCGACCGCCGCCCGCCACGGGGGCCGTGGGGGAGTCGGACGCCTTGTGCTGGGTGGACAAATTCTCCGTCGACGGTTCTAAGTAGTATAGTCGTAGTATTAATCGGATTCACCCGTTCCGAGACATTCTCAAAATACTGAAATTTCCGATATCGCGAAAGTCGAGCTCCCAGGGATTTTTCTCGAAAAGACTGTATGCCGCCGATTTCACTCGCTCGTGGAAAAGCTCGTCTGAAATTCAGTCGATTCGTTTTTTTACGAACGGAAATCGCCCATGAGACGACCTCCGAATCGAAAGAAACCCGGAATTCGGAATCGCGATAACTCCGATAGCGGCCGACCGATTCCGCCGGAACCTCCTCAGTTTCGAGACTGCTCCTGGCTCCTGGGCGCAGTTCAGACCGATCAGCTCTCCCGAGTTTTCAAATCGGTCGCGTTCGAAGCCCAACTGTCATTATTCAGGAACGGCGTCGATTTGAGTGCCCATGTGTTTTCGCGTGTGAGCTGATACCGAACGACTTTCCAACGGATTTGATTTGGATTTGTGGTGGCTCCTGTTGACATCGTCTGCATCTGCGGACCTTCTTCCGCGAAGAACGTGTATGTAGGGAATTCATTTCGGCTTCTTGAAGCCGAGATATCTTCATTCGAAAAGTAGGACCGGATGCAGATACCTGATAAACACGGACACATTTTCTAGCCTTGTTTCGATTGAGTATTTGTTGGACAGATCCAGCTTTTTGTGGGCGGGACGCTTCCTGGAGGACAGTGCCGGCTTCTCGCCACTGATCGTTCCAGTAGTGGATCTGACCTAGGCTCTCAAACCTCGTCTTACGGATCGACTTCGTTTCTGCGTGGTATTTGATAGAACGGCAACGGATGACACATCAGGCTTCAGAGGTGCGCTCAGCTGTTCTATCGGTCCAGCGAAGCTCAACCTCATTGCCTCAGGCAACCCGGATGGGTCGTTTGCCTTCAGAGCCCGCCTGGAGTACGCGCTCAGGAAGGAGCCGTGACCTAGGGCCGTTGAGAATCGGGGGCTCAAAAATCGAGTGATCGGGGCATCACCACTGACATCGGACGATCAATGAGTTTACCTGCTTAATTCGATATACCGGGAATCCCCTCCGAGAAGGCGATCGAGTAAGGTACGTTTGCCCCATCTCCTTCGGTATTGGTTCCTCGACGAAGGCTCCACTGCTCTCGAGCCAGGCGATCGTCATCACTGGCTTGATCTCACTTCCCAGTCCCTCCCCATCGGGACATCCTAGGTGTCCCTGCTTCCCGACTATATTCACTTCGAACATGATTACCTAAAGAAAAACCAGATATGTGTCACGGCACACAGAGCCCTGCCCTCCACAATGGCAGGAGAACGTATGGAGACATGAGGATAGAAGAAGATCCATACACGATCGATCAGAATCGACTCAGGCGACTAAACGTAAGTCAGACTTCTGGAAAGCTGAATTCTCGAGAATCCACGCGCTGTGATAACCCGATGGGAGCGAAAAAAGCCAATACAATCTTTCTCCGTGCACGTCCGGAAGCCTCAATCAGACTTTTGGTAGGAATGATCAGTGTTTGCAAGGAGATACTGCACACCTCTCGAGATTTCATTTGTTCATTACTCATAAGTAGGGCTGGAGATTATTCGCGGAAAATTTCCGCCGAATTCGCGGAAATTCGCGGCCCCCATTGAAACGCTATGAGGGGTATCCGGAAACCGCGAAAATTTGCCGAAACATGGCAGTTCGCGAAAAAACTTCAGCCGTACTCATGAGGAATCCTGATACCGTGGGATTCCCTCGGGGGCTCAGTTCCGAACGGAGGGTCTGAGTGAATTCTGACTCGATAGAACCACGTCATCGTACCGCGACCTTCTCGATCTCTCGATGGGAGATCTCATGGTCCCTGATCGCAGCGTGCGAGCTGGACGCGATCCTTTTTCCATGAGGAAAGTTCTGAAGTCCCAAAGAAGCATGTTACTCACCGGCTAGAATGGGCGACGGCGCGTGGGTCGTGCTGAACCTCCAATTGACATATAGAAAAAACGATGCGCACGTCATAAGAGACACTAGCATGAGGTCACGATAACGAGCAGCAAGCGCTCTGACGGCAAAGTGGCCCATGCCTGATCGCAGAGCATTGCCGCCGTCCCTGTAAGGAATTCGGGCGTAGTCGTTAGACAAGTTCGATAGCTCCGATCCAGCTTGGACCTGCGGAGCATCTGCAATACCTAGCATTCGGAAAAGATCTTCTCTCGCTCAATGGCTCGACGATTCTTCGGACTCGAAGTGTCTCGGCAATGGTGGCGGATTCCCGGTTCCGGGCGATGATTCCATTTCCTCAGCCTCTGTAGAATTAATGCGAAAGGTATGAACGAGAGGATACGGAGTTTCATCGAGCGGGGGGTTTTATACCGCATCATGATTCTTCAACTTTTCGCTTGGAGATATGAGTTGACGTTCGTCGATGATGTCGGAGACCCAGCGCAGACCTAGTAAATAGTAGCTCTTTGCTTCGGTGAGAGGTGAAAGTCCCCGTTCGGAATCGACCGGCTAGAAAACCTCATCAACCCCCATTACTCATGGCGAATAGAACTAGCTCCTCCTCCCGTGGAGGTCTGAGCTCCCCGCCTCACGAAGACCGATCGCGCCACTAAGGCCATCAATATTCGACGAGAGGGGAGAATCAGAAGAGCACACGACAGGAATGCTGCGATGACTCGATATCGTTCCGACAGAGGGGAATCGCGGTCCGGGGGAAAAGGAGTGAGCATAGCGCGAGCGTCTTTTCCGGGCGGCGAGTGGCTCCGCGGCAACTAGGTCCAATGTGCTCCGACCCTCGGGACGTGACTGAATTGCGTTCATTGCTTAGCCCGGGCGGCGACTACACCAGGAGCATGGTAGCACGAAGTGGGCGAAATCTTAGCGACTTATGACGTTGAGAGCGGAGTTTACTTCCGCGGCAACTGCTTTCGGACTTCATCGGCGTTTCAGTATCGAATCAGGGAGCCCGCATCCGAATTTTTTGACAGCTTTCTCTTGAGGAGCGCATCTTCTCGAGGTCCGTCAGCCCATCATGAGATGGAGGACGGAGGCGTCTTGCCGTGATGAAAACACGAACTATGTGTATGAGCTACAAGTCGCATGATCCGTGAACCAGTAAGCGAACCCTACATGATTTGTCGATATCGAGAGCGCCGAGAACGTCGGCGTCGCTTATTGAATGTTGTCGCTGTCGGGCTGAGTCGGACTGAGCAGGTCGCAGGTACACGCGGTCAGCTCAGTGGACTAATACCGAGTGAGGCACGGAGGTGCTCCCCCTTATCTCTGATTAATCGTTTCCCCGAAGATTCGCCCGCTCCTTGGCGGCGTCTCAGAGGCTGTTCGAGCCTGAGGTTGGTGGAACCGACAAGCGAAAGCTCCTGCAGTGAGCTCATCCCGAGACCATCACACTCGCTCAAAACCAGTTGGATTTCCGCCATGAGGAGGCGGACCATAGCGATCTCAATGATTCTATGGTCGAAATTCAGAGTTCCTCCCTCAATACCCAGATTTTGTCATCAAGTTTGGGCATTGTTTCCCGCGGAGAAACCCGTTCTCCTATCTTCCCCGCCTATTCTTGTTAGGGTACTCGAGAATATCGGTATGATGCACACTCATGGGAACCGCGATTTCCTGCAATTTTCGAACGATTCCCGCAAAAAGCTCATTTGCACGCTCGATAATATTCAGGACTCTCTTCGAACGACCCAGAGGAATCTCCTCCGACACCGAAGAATCAAGCTCTGGGAATCGAAGGTGTTCCAAACCTCAGAAGGGCTCGGTCAGACCCGGTCATTGCTTGAGCTTGGCAACGAGCTCGGAGACACGGCCGGATCAAGACTCGCCATGAGCATCGAGCTCGCAGAGCTTATCTGTTTCCGGGAGCCACTCCAACCGAGAATTCGAAGCGAAAGCGGTTTCACACCGTCGAGTGGATTTCGGGATTTTCCGCGGAGTTCGAGATTTGTTCCCGCGGCACGCCGCGATTCCAGAAGTATTTCGCCACGAAAAATCGACATCCCCACTGATCAGTATCCTCCCTCTGGCTCGCGATATCTCGCGAGTTCATCCACTCTAAGTCTTAACAGCTCGGGGTAACGGTTCAGATCGCTGACGGCGAGCCGATCAGCAATCACTGATCTCCGAGTTACAAATATATGATAGAAGTGACACCTATATCACACAGCGAGATGCGTCTCTGCAGGATCATCGGAAAGATCGTCACGGATCTCAGCAAGGGATACGACCTTGGGCTAGCCCGCTTCTGGTTGCGCCATCTCAGTGCTGCGGAAAACATACCGATGCATGAAAGTGCCTGCGACTAAGCCGGAAACATCCTCGTGGATATCCGAAGTGTCGGTCGGAACCGATTCACGAATAAGATCACCGTCTAATTCGTCTGAAACATCCAGCTTGTTGCGGTCAGGGCGCATGGTAGACAAGCCCAGCGCGGCTGGAGCTTATGAGTATAGAGTATAGAGCCTTTCCATGGTTGTGGAAGGAGGCTTCCAGTATAAACACCACGCCAGGAATGTAGCTCTTTCGAGCGCATGAGCTGCATGTGAACCGCAACCATACTGAAGGAGCTTCTAGCGAAGGATCTGCGCTTCCCGGCAAGCAATTCGTCTCCACAGCTTGGAGCTCAGAAGTTAGCCTCAGAATATTTCGCTTGTGCTCTATCGAAATCTGCCGGTGTAGGGCAGAATCCCCCGGATGTTTCTGATGATGACGATTCTCGGGCTTGTCTCTGAACCGGGGGCGAGAACAATGGAGTTCCAACCTTGAGCCGGGATCATGGCTAATCATCGCTGAGAGATACCCGATTCCCCCGCGTAAATGCGCTCTTTTGAATCCCCGAAACCGAGAGACATGCTGATAATTCGAGCTGGTGAGGTGGACGCTTCGCTTTTGTCTTTGATCGAGACGGCCGGGCTGGCGTCCGAACATTCTCGATCCGTCTTCTTCCGTCTTTGAATGACAGCAATGATTGAGCCTGGCGCTTGCGACGCAACATTCCAGGCTTTTGTTCCAGATGAGTGGTGCATGAACTTATGCACATACTTTCGGAAATCTTCTGCAATCGATCACGATAATTTTCGCATCGTGTGGCTCAGGGTTGTCATCGAGACTTACAGCAATCCTCACATCGAATTGCTTTGGATTCCGCGCTGACTTGACCAGGCGCGTATCCTGGATTCTTTTAGAGGGGGCCACCAGGGGCAATCCCGGCCAGATGCGTCTGGTATCAAAATATTCCCCCGCGGGCTGAAAAACTCGGACTCAATTGTCGCTTTGACTGGACGAAGTCGCGAAATCGGATCATGGCATAGGACGGTTGGGCGCGGGATCTTGGAGGAAGACTTAAGAAACAAAAGGAACGACCAAGTACTCTGCATAGCTTGGGGTGTCGAATCGTCTGTTTGTCGAACGGCTTTCTTTGTTGATCGACTGGTCTCGCGGCTCCGTGGGACGACCGTAACCACTACCTTGTTGACATAGAGCACTCCCTTTTTCCCGATCCCTTCTTTCGCTCAGCCACGCCCAGGGAGAGAATTTTTACAAACGACACGAGCAGATCCATGTACGGCCGGCCATTGTATGGTCGACCGAGAGCGTAGCAGCGAATGGAAATTCTTTTTCAGCCAACACTCTCTGCCTCTCCTGTATCTTCGTTGTCCCATTTCGCACTGATGCGAGCCACTCGATAGGTCAACAAGGGGATTCGAGCACACACTGCGCACGACGAGACCGACCACGACACCAGGCTAGAGTGGAGAAGTCGAGAGTGAGTCGGAGCGGAGAGCTAGATTCGCTCTCGTTAGGTGGAAAGCCTCAAGGGGAGGAGCACTGTTCCCGCTCATACACCTTGGCCAAACAAACACCGAAAGCGACAAACCGCTCCCCTTCGGCTCATCCACAGTCGTTCACCTTGATTAGGTCAACAGAATGATGACCGCGCGACCGTTGTGTTATTTTCAGTCAGCCGTCGCTCATAGCTCAAAGCTAATTGCCGCCAGTCGAATCTCAATGGATGATCAGAGCCCACACTTCATGCGTAGACTGTCGCCGCGATGTGGATTTTTTTGGCGAGCAACTCTTTCTCGGTAGACGAGCTGAAGCATCTGGTCTGTACCTCGCGAGCGAGATTCTCGCTTTGAGATCGGTTGCAAAACGAATCTGACTGGAGTCGGAGTTTTGAAGATACCCTCAGTCAGCTAACAATCTCTAGGAGATGGCGCCGATCGTGTCGACGTCGGCCAAGTCGTTTTTGAGCCTCGAATAAGCGGAGCATGAACCTAAACTCAGCTCCCATGGACCGAGGATAAAGTTGCTTGCAGAGAGAAACCCGATGATTCCGGAATTCGTGTGCGAGTCTGCGTCGGAACTCGAGACTCAAGCTGCAGGGAGTCTCACCCTGACAACATTCGACTCCAATAATCTCTTGCACCCCGAGGTACCGTCCGCAAGCAGAATTCAGCGATGCGTGTATCGATTCAACCGCTATTACGAGTCGGCGAGGCAATACTCGTCAATGAACGAGTCTTCTTCGAGAGTCTATGCAGTCGGCCGTTACAAGGCTTCCTCCTCCCGTCTGCGGTGGTTGCAGTATTTTCAGCTTTGCTGCGGGCTCTCGAAGGACCGCTCGTAACTTCCTCGTGTTCACGGTATCGATAGAATAATAATCTAGGATTTCCTTGATTATGATACTTTCCGTCTCCTGAGGGAATTCATGCTCACCCCAGGAAGGGCAGAAGTCTAGTCTTACTAGACTTCTAGTCTTATCCGATACTCGGATCGCATCCAGGTGCAAAATCGACGTGAGAGCCCGGGGTCGACCTGGGGAAAACGCTCATTGCGGATCGGTTCCTTCCGACAGACGGCGAGCAGTCATCGGCGGCCCATTCCCGAACGCCAGAATCCGACATTCCCAGCGGATGGGCTCAGAATACTGCAGCGAGTGTCCGTGAAATGAAGTGGAGCATCCTATGCTATTTCCTCATGTGAGCGGTTTGCAATCCATGCTGGCCACAGCA